CCCTAAATTTTGGCCGTGTATTTAACACTTGGCAAGGGCACGGGCGGGCTGGAGCAGAACACGGCCGTGCCCTCAATCGTGTTTTGCCCAGTGATGCCCTTTTAGGCAGATTTCAGCCAAAACAGAAGAGGATTCGAGTTTTAGAAAGACAGAGCGATTCCTAGAGAGAGAAAGCGACGAACAAGAGTTCCCAAGTGCCCTAGCTTGATCTTCATCACCATTGGAGCTTGGCTTGAGCTTGGAGAAGTGCCGATCAACGTCCAGGAGAAGAAATCCATTCTTCACAGTATGATTTCCGCGTCTGATTCTGCTTTTGCTTCTTTCTCCATGGAGTAGTTCTCCCATTCATCTGGGTATGGAGAACCCTAGATTTGTATGTTAGGTTTGATTGTATGAACCCAAGTATTGATTCTATGATTTGATTATATTCAATTGAGGTTTGAATGATTGAATGACTTGAATCCTGATCAAATTCCTGTTATTTCTGCTTTAACTTAGAATGAGAATATCTGCCTAGGTTGATAGAGCATCCTTGATTGAAGGTAGGGAGTTGGTGACTTTAGTCGAGGAGCCAACTCACTATTCTATACCGAATTCACTTCGGTAGTGGAGGTTTTGTTCGTTAGGGCCTGAATCTGTTTACTCCGGTGGAGGTTAGTCGCCCGCTAGAGACTCAGATTGAGAGGGTCTGGAGACCTTTAGTCGAGACTTCAGACTGCTTAAGAACCTTCCGCAGTATAACTATCATAGAAATTGAACTTGGTAATTGCAATCCTGCTTAACTGCAGTCTAGGGGGAACCATATCCGGGTGACCTCTCTTAACCTGAAAACAACCGTTTAGTTGCTTTGCTTGTTTGTTAGTTTAGACTTGCATTAAAATTTCACTGCTAGATAACAAGAATTCACCGAGTAGCCATCAAATCTATGACCCAGGTTGACATTAAAACCCAAACCCGCTATACTACGCTTTAGGAAGTGGTTTCACTTGGCCATTTTCTAGGGTGACAGTAGGAGTGAGTCACTATACCTCGAGTAGTATCAATAATTTATTGTTAGATCATAAATGATATAGACCATCAATTATGGTTCGTAAACCCCCAAAATTAGTCATGTGCTATACTAACTTCCTTGTTTTTCATTAATAAGGTGGTGGCATGAAGCGAAAGCACGCATTAGCTAATTAATTCTCTATTGCAAGAGGCGCATGAACGGGTAGAGAATGAATTTAGTGGAAATATAGAGCGATACAATAGATGAATCATTTATGCATGTTGTGATTGAGCCCTAGTATGCATGATACTACTCAAGCTTGCTCTTTTCTGCAATAACGTATATTTACTTTGTGCATCTATAATTCAATAAACACCTAAACAACTTTACTATCCTTGCATACTTTCCTTTGTTTGAGACATAAATTAAAATCCCTAAATGTCTTTCATGTTTTCGTGTGTCATGAAATCCCAAACTTTGTGACGAAATCAATTTGCCATCCATGGGAATGATATAATTTGTGGTCAACAACATTATTTATGAGTTTGGCATGTGTAGTGTATTGGTTTAAACAATTTTAGTATTTTAGATTAGCTTAACAACTTGGTCCATAAATCTTATAAATCAATTTGGGGACAATGGTTTACCCCAAATAATTATTTTGCCTTAAATACCACATAGTTTAGTGTGAGGCATTTAATTGGAGGCAAATTTTAGTAGGGACAACAAATTGGTAAGGCAAGAGGAGCCTTGTATTTTTAGATGTTTTGGTCCACCATCAATAACGTCACGTTGTTTACCAACACTGCTATGGTAAATGGTGCAGCGAGTTCAACGATTTCGCGAGCTCAAGAACATTACAATTTGTAACAACTTTACGAGTCCAACGATCTAGCGAGTCCATCAAGTTTATAAGTCCAACGACATTGGGAGTTCCATAACACCGTAGGGCCTTGGAGAGCTATGATCCTAACAATGTCGCTGTGACCTCATATTGGTTATAGTCCTGGTGTATCTCGATGAGAAACAACATCGTGGAGTATCGTGTAATCTTGTGAGCTAGCAGGTTGAGCCACCCGGCTACAATGGGTATGAGGATCAATTTAGCAACATTGCAGTGTGAAGCCACATTGCAAATCCATGTGAAATCCCGCATTTCCATGATTATGGTTGGAGTAACACCATGGTTCTAGTAACATCGTGGTTGGAACCTTGTTGACTTGAGAGCAATATTGCTTTAGCAATGTCGCGGGCTCAACAAAGATGGTTGTTTTGGATGATATTGTGTGTGAGCCATGGTTTGCAAACTTGTTGGCTCAAGAACAACGATGTATCTCAAACCATCTCGATGGTTAGTCGCTATGCAGTAATGGTTCAATCATGATGCGAGACTCGGTGCGAACCTAGTGACTCATGGAATGGGTTCCACGTTCCAACCCTGCAAGCCTAGTTTGGATGACCAGACTGTTAATCCATGCAGGCTTCATGCAAAGAAGAGTGAAGAGTGTGATGCAAAGTGGTAAAGACTAAAACTTCCAATAAGAGGTTAGAGAACGTGGGAGTTTACCTAGACAACTGTGCGGTCAAGCACACAGCTTCCCGGAGGGGTTATCGGGAAGGCTACAGAGATCGATACTTTTAGATAAAACCAATGGAGCAATGCTGGAAAGAGAACAAAAAATCAAACAAAAACACAACTGTCTCATATTATATTTTCTCACAAAAACTAATCGCAGTTGTAGACGTATTTGCTGAGCTCTCTTGAGGAATCTCAATAGGATCATTCCTAATTTAATGTAGATTCTTAAAACTCAAACACCCTCATTTAAAAAATATTCTAGATATGTGAATCGAGAAATTATCGTCATCATTTCCAGAAGTCAGAAGCACAAACCAATATAATCAACACCTTGAAGTTTCCCCAGCATAACACTCATACATCATGGTACATGTGGATGTAGACAGTAGACATGTAGTTGTGCCAGTTAATTTTCGATGCAGTGTACATGTTTGTAGTTGATTGAAAGGTGGCCTCGTGCATTTCCATTCCCATTTGTGTCGAGTTGTTGAAAAAATTCATAGGCAAATACCAAACTTGTACTGCGACAGTTTTGTTTATCAATAATTCTCACCATTGCTTGTTTCCCATTTTCGAGATTCGTCACCTATATAACCACAATAAGATCGTGCAATTGTTAGAGTTAGTCTCTAGAAATACTATATTGAAACAAAAGTAAAGTAAGTGTGTTTATAAAGTCATTTCCAAATTGCATTATTGCTTGAGTGAGTAGTGAGTTTTTGTGAATTCTGTGTGTCATACGCAATTAGTTGTTTGCATGTTGTGGTTTGAAGTAAGAATTTTTTTACCGTTAATTAATTAATTAGTTTTGGGATAAATAATTGTTTATTTGATTGTTGTGAAATGAAGCAACCTTTGAGGAGGGTGTTGTTTCCACAAGATAAAGCTTATTGCCACCGGAAGTCTTCATTATTTCATATTATTCCATTTTTCTTCTCCAAAACTCAATCTCCGAAATCTAAAAGTCGTTACTTTTAAATTTTAACATTAAAGGAACTCCTTAGGGAAGTTTAATCATATCAACAGTTATGGTTGGGCAGATAACCACTCCAAAGAGGTAATTCTATCACACCTCCAATTAGAGCTGGAAGTTTGGTACCGGTATTTGAGATATAACGAATACCGTACCGAATTTATCACTATTTTATATTACCGAATACCGGTTTATTTCTTTGGGATTGGGATTCATTTTAGAGTGCTATTCAACATTCGGGATTACGGGATTGGGATCGGTATATACCGAAATGCAGAAAATTAAAAATTAATAAAATATAACACGCAACTTTTAGTCATTTCTCACTCTTTCACAACTTAGAAGCCCCCATCCAACTCAATTTTGACTTTCCAGTTCAAGTCACTCTCATTTCTCACCTAATCTCTTGTTAATTTTCATAACATCATAAAGCAAATACTAGTATTAGTTTTCTCTCAACTTCCAATTCGTCAAATTAAGAATTACCAATGACAAGAATTTGAGATGTCACATCTCCTCCATTCTCCATATCCATATCCTAGCTCTAGGCAAACTCAACACTCTTTGCTTAGTCTCTTTGCTCTAAATTAAACAATCAAATCTAATTTATATGTTTAATTATTACTTGCAAATATAATTAATTTCGTATTCGATAATACCGATTGGCATAGCGAAGTACCGATTGGGATACCAAAATATTTAGGGATTGGGATACCGAAATTATTTAGGGATTGGGATTGGGATTGGGATTGACTTTAGGGTGTAATTCGGTATTCGAAATTTCAGTATTTGGTATTGGGATACCGATACCGTACCGATTTCCACCCCTACCTCCAATCGTGTTTGTCTTTCTCCCTAATAATTAGAGATGTCAATTTGAATCCAATCCACCAATCCAAATCATGTACTAAAATTTCAGCTAACCTTGTTCGTGTAATTCAAATCCAATTAGATTGTAAGATTCACATATTGGATTCATATATATTTGAAAATTTAAAGTTTATACCTAGACTCTTTATATTTTATATTTTGATGCCTAAATTCTAATTTTATGATGAAATTATTATAAAAAATTTATATTTTGCTACCTATAATTTTTTATGACATTTTAGTACATAAATTTTTCAAAAAATTTATATTGGTCCATTATGTAGATGTCACTTGGATTCATAAATCCAAACCACTATTCATCAGTCTAATACACCAATCAATGAATCCAATCTATTTACCAACTCTACTATCATTAGATAAGTAGACTTGCACACATCCATCCATAAAGAAAAAACATGGCACCGGCACATATTAGTTTCATATTTGTACACATACCTTGATTAATTATAGTTGGTCTCCTATACTAATTAAATTTGGTAGTCACCACCACAAAATTCAATTACAATTTAACAACTATGATTGGTCGATTTGTTGGTCATTCAAACTTTGATTGATTGCTCCAAAATCGTAAAATCTCAGACTTATTGCAGCTTAAAAGTACACACAGATGAAAGCAGTATGAATTGAATTATACCTGTAGGCACAGTCCGGGAAGGATGGTGGCCGAAACATGAGTTGATGATGACGATGACGACGGTCCACATATCGCCGCAGCAACATACTCATGAACTGATGATGATGATGATGATGATATATTCATTCTTAAGTTGCGGTCGTAGGTGGCAAGTAGAACGTAATCACCATTTTCCTGATGACGACGACGACTAGTCGCAGCAACAACCGTAGCATTATAGACGGTGTAATTCGCGATTGCATGCTGCTCTCCTTGGTCCAAATTATCGCACAAGTCATCGTAGCAATTGCAAGGATGTATGCTGTTCCCCTGATCATCATAACAAGGCGTACAGTAAAGAGCGCCAGCTCCACAATAATAGGTCCAACTGCAACACCGCCCTGCCGCTTGGTCACAGTAGGAGCAGTCAGTGTAAGGCTGGCAGGCTGTGCATGTATGATCGTCCAGTTCGGCAGCAACAGCAGCGCACAGAAGTACTACTACTGCAACAATGAACATGAACATAAGTGGCTTCATCGATCTTTATTTCTCTGTTAACAGTGTGGCTTTTTTTTCTTTTTTTGTTGATTGCACGACGTACATGATTAATTACTTGCTTCTATTTATAATGCAACGTCCGCATTGGTATGATTTGTCTTGCTTGTGTTGGGTTCTTAATTAATTTTTATATTAATGGGTCAATTTGGAGCTATCGATAAGATCTGATCAGCTGGAAGAAGCATGTACCGTGTAAACAAGGTAACTCTGATTAGCTAGAGCCGCTTGGCACATTGTTGCCAAATAAGAATATATAGAGCGGCCCGCGGAGGGAGCGTATGTGTGAATCTGAATTCTGATTACCAGGAGCAGATATGGTGATTACTGCTCATGGTTACTAAGGGCAATTTTTTTTTTTAAAGAGAGAGTGCAGAGGGGCATTCTAACCTTTATATATTGATAGCTCGGGACATTTCAACTCCAATGAGATCGTACATCAACCAATAGCTTAACTGTGGGTTCGGAGTGTCAAACAGATGCACTCCAACAGAAAGGTTGTGGCCAACAGAGGCCATATAATCAACATAATTACCCTCCCGAAAAACATGATCAATACTAACCTCCTAATCCCTCACCAATAATCTGCAGATAGCGGCTATCATAGTGTAATGTGGATGATTCATTTGGTCCGACCGTAGGAGAGATATCGCTACTGCCGAATCAGTCTGCAGCTTGACTTTCCGAGCCCCAGCCTCCAACGCAATTTGCAATCCTTGGGAGATCTCACCTAGTTCAGTGTGGGTGATCGACCCTCCTCCCAGATTGACAGCAAAGGCCTTAACAAATCCCCCATCGCTGCCTCTAAAAATTTCGCCCACCGTAGCGCATCCAAGAGCTGGAACCACCGAACCGTCAATGTTAACTGCAATCCAGCCCGGTGGAGGATGTTGCTAGGTAATCATGCGGACGTCTCGTTGCCTAGCCCCTTCCATGATTGCCTGTGCTTTGGAAAATGTAAGGTCAGTCTGCTCCCGTAAATGCTTTGCCTTGATGCCAATCCTTCCATTGATGAGATCACTTCCTCAAAGACCCAATCGTTCATGTTTTTCCACAGTTCCAATAGCGAATGCCGAACAGGGAAGCATCCAGCACTTTCCCTCGTCCACTCAAATAATATAGGAACCATCGCCTACTATCTGGTTCAAAGAAGTCTGAGTCCGGCTCATCCCGCAACAAAAAGGACCAAACTCCTCTTGCATAGGGAAAATCCCGTATAATGTGGACAATCGATTTGGGTCCTCCGCCACAGACTGGGCAGTGGTCCGACTGTGTTAGGTGGAGCCGATCTCTATCCTTGTTCGTGAGAAGGCGACCATGCAATGCCAACCACAGGAACGTCTTCTTGCGCTGAGGGCCTTGAAACCTCCATGCCTTCTTCCATACAGGGTAGGACTGCTCGGGATCTTCGCCTTCTCTCGTTAACTCATAGGCAGTCTTCAAAGTGAAATTGACCAAGTCCGAGTAACGCCAAAAAGGGATGTCTGGTGTGTTTCCCATAGGGACTGGATGTAGGCGCAACTGGACAACTACTTCTTCAGGGAGAAATTCTCGAATGAAAGGTAGGTTCCAGTCACCATTAAGTATCAACTCCGCTACTGTCAAGTCCTGGGCCACATGCGGGAGGTCATGTGCAGCGGAGGCCAAAGGAGGGCCATCAGTGAGCCACCTGTCCGTCCAGAAGCGAACCTGCAAACCACTGTTGACATTCCACATTGTCCCTTACGGGATGAGATGTAGAACTCGGATTAACCCTCTCCAAAGGTTAGAAAGGCGGCCTTCTTCCCTAACCCTTCAACCATTTTCAGTTCTTCTCAAGTACTTCCCCCTGATGACTTGAGCCCAAAGGCTATGTTTCTCTGTGAGTAATTGCCAAGCAATCTTGATCATAAAAGCCTCATTCATCTGAGTGGTGCCTCGCAGTCCCAGACCACCTTCCTCCTTTGGCGTACATTGAGTATCCCAATCGAGTAGATGAATTTTCCTCCCCTGATCAGAGCTGCCCCAGATAAAGCCCCATATCTTTCTATCAATGTACTCATGAACCGCTACTAGGTGCCAGGACATCTGCATAGTATAGGCTAGAAGGGACGAAAGTACCGATTGTGCCAATGTAATTCGACCCGCCAGGGAGAGTGATCTGACTTTCCAGCAAAGAAGAGATGTGAGAGACGGGAGCCCTCATGTGAAATTTGAACGATCAGCCATTCTCCCCTCTCCATTACTGCCGTAATAAGATGTCCTAGCCGCTCCATTCAAAGGGTAACTGATAGACCATTAACTGCACATGTTATTACCCCTATTCTTGAGCCGTTTGGGATGTTGATTCTCGTGTTTTAAGCCGATTTTACGCTAGGTTGTGCGTTTATGTCATATTTCAGGACTTAGCGTTGGCATCGAGGAGAAGAAACGAGTTTCGGGTCGAAAGGAGCACGTTTGGGTTGAAGTGTGCTGGAGGAGCAAAATACCCGGCCGTGAGCAGAAATGCCCGGCCGGGTATTATTTGGAGCAGACCGTGGAATTTACGTTTTGGGCGTCTGAGAAGCAGAAGGGGGCCCGGTCGTGACACTAAAATTCCCGATCGGGGATTCTTGGCCTTGACCGGGGATTTTCCCCTATCTCCAGACATTGCGTTTTGAATATACCCAACCTCTACCCAAAATACCCGACCAGGTATTCAGGCCGGGGATCGCGACAGACAGCTTCTTAAGGGAATAGAAGGGCAAAAGAGAAGGGTTCCGAGTTTTAGAGAGAAAAAAGCGATACCTAGAGAGAAAGTGACGAACCTGATTCTGCAAGTGTCCTTGATCGATCTCCATCACCATTGGAGTGCGGCTTGAGCTTAGAGAAGAGCTGTTTGAGTGCGAGAATCAGATTATCATCCTTCACAGTATGGTTTCCGCATCTGAGCTAGATTTCCCATCTCTCTCTATGGAATAACTTTCTTATTCACCTAGGTATGAAGAACCCTAGATTTGTATGTTAGGTCTGATTGTATGAACCCAAGTACAGATTCAGTGGTATGATTATGTTCAATTGAGGCTTGATTTGGTGAATGGCATGAATCCTGATCAAATTCCTGTTGTTTTTTCTTTAATCTAGAAAGAGAATATCTTCCTAGGTTGATAGAGCACACTCGATTGAAGGTAGTGAATTGGCGACTTTAGTCGAGGAGTCAATTCACTATTCTGTACTGAATTTACTTCGCTAGTGGAGGTTTGGTTCGTTAGGGCCTTAGTCTGTTTACTCTAGTGGAGGTTAGTCGCCCGCTGGAGGCTCGGATTGAGAGGGTCTGGAGACCTTTAGTCGAGACTTCAGACTATTTAAGAATCTTCCGCAGTATAACTATCATTGAACCTGAACTTGGTAAATTACAATCCGGCTTAACTTCACTCTAGGGGGAACCGTATCCGGGTGACCTCTCTCGACTTGAAAACAACCTTTTTACTTGCTTTGCTGGTTAGCTTGTTTTGACCTTCACTAAAGTCTCACTGCTAAATAATAAGAACTCAAGGAGTAGTCATCACATCTAGGACCCGGGTTGACAAAATACTGGAACCCAACACGAGATGTCACCGGTTACGGTCCCATAAATCAGTATGCACCAAATCAAACGGATCAGAATAAACGGTGGTACTAGAAGTAAATGACTGGTGAGAAAGCTTCGCCTTAATGCAATGAACACAGTCACGAAAATCACAAACTGAACTGCTAGATAACAAATTCTGTTTAAACATATCTAATAACCTAGCCGAATGAGGATGGCATAACCGACGATGCCATAAATCCCAGTTTGAAAGCTTAACAGAGTAACCAAAATTATCAAAATCACTACTCCCAGCTGTGGCACTACCACCACCAAATTCGCGCGAACTACTCTGGCTCGCTCCCCCGTCTCCCTCTACAAGTGATCCTCAGTAACTATCCAGAGTGAACATGCGCCCCACCTTAGTCCCGTGGCCTATCTCTTGTGTTCTTGTCCTGCACAACACAACCATGGGAATCAAAGACCACCCGACAACCCTGCTCGGCCAACTGCACAACGGAGATTAGGCTTGGAACTAGATGCAGCACATATAGGGTATCTTTGAGACATAAACTAGACTGATCAACATCGCTAATACCCTTCGCATGCAAACAAGTACCATCCGCGACTTGGAGCATAAAGAACGAAACGAAGAACTAGTGCCCGTCATGTGGTTAAATGCCGCAGAATCAATATGCCAAGAGTTATAAGGGCGAGAAGGCATACCAGCAGTGAACACAGAGCCAAGAGCAGCCAGAAGAGCCTCCATAATAGCGTCATGAACAAGCTAACGTATAAATTCAGCAGTCATCGAGCCCCCAGGAGGCGTAGTAGTGGAAGTCGGCGCGACGATAGTAGCAAAGGCGGATCCCGAAGCAACCCCAGGACCAGACCCACGAGGCGCACCAGCCTGAGTGGAACTAGATGGTCGAGTACGGCCATGCTTAGCCAAAATCGGACAGTCTCCAATTTTATACCCCGTGAAACATCCCACATCTTTGAATTTGGAAAAAGACATTTCTACCCCGGGGTATAGTTAAAAATCTCAAATAACACAAGTTTAAATAAAATACCAAACTCAAATATCATAATATCTCAAATCGAAGCCCTAAACACGTGGGCAAAACTCAAATTATGCAAAAGAAATGAATCTCCAATCTTTAACTCTTAACCATAAAGTATTAATAACTTGAAAAAGTTCTATGATGCTTACTCTAACGCCTGGCTCGACATCTCCCAGCGACGATGGTGTGGAGCTCCTCTAGCTTGATGATCCCAGACTGGCTGGTTAGGATTTCATCCTCTACGATCTGGTGAGTGAGTTGGGGTCAGTCTACGCCCTTACGTTAAAATCTATAGTACTTTAGTATTCTTCTCTAAACACATAACTGCTACTAGTGGAAGTCGTTTTGTACCTCCATTCTTAACAATCTTAACTCATAAAATTCTTCGGGAGTCAAAGTTACTCTCCCTTCTTAAAGATCAAAACTTGACTTAAATCTTTTGACTGACACGGGGATCCCTCACTAGCTAGTCCGGTTGCCCAACTCATACGTATGAGAAGCCATCCAGACTTTCCTTAAACTTAGTTAGGGGAGTCGTAACGATTCATCCCCCTAACATCTTAAACTTATCGTGGTGGCTCTTCACCACGATTCTCAAGGGCATAACTGCTGCCCATCTTATAAGTCTCAAGAGCATAACTGCTGCTCTATCTCAAAATGTCTCAAAAGGCAACAGACTGGCGCTAGTGACTAAAAACACTTAAAACGACTCCACCTTCTTGAAGGTCAGTTACTTCTTAAAAAAGAACTTGTTTCTTAACTTTAAGAATAGCTTATAAAGGGAAAGCTTTAACTTAACTAAGAACTCATGCACATTCACATCAAACATAGCTCAAACAAAATCACATATCATCAGCCACAAGCACAATCAAACAACGACGATCCCTTCATCAAGATACGTAAAGCTTGAAATTCTTGAAAGAACACGTAAGCATAGAATTTACCCCCTTTACACTCACCTTGAAAAGATGACTCCGCGATTCCTTTTTCGACGAAAACCCTCCTAGCCGAATTATCTCGGTGAACCTATTAATAAGAATGTCATCTCCTTTGTCGACCTTTCTTGATTTAGAATTCCCCTTTGGGTCACTAGAACATCCTCTCCTCAACATCCAGCCCTCGAGCCTCGCTCCCAAGGTCCCTCAACCACCTTTAAAAAGTTTCTAAAAACAATCCCTTCAAAACCGACAACTTTTCCTAATTATTTTAGTCTTGAACGAATTTTCCACCTAACTTGAACCTTCTTAAAAATTTGGATGATAATTTTCCAACATCAATCATGAGTACTTATACACTGAAAATTATCAAACTCTTATTAACTCTTCAGAAATATTTTTATTTAATTAAAACGGATGTTCAAACAATTTCTAAAATTAAAAATACATCTTCGAAAATCCCCAAATTAAATTACAGCCATCAGCTGGACCTCCCTCAATTTATAAAATTTTAAAACTCCGGAATAAACCCCATGAAGGCTCGAAACAATTTAAATCATCTAAAACAAATTTCTAAAAATTCCCTGCAGCTTTAGTGACTACCCTAATTTTGTCACTAAAAGCCTGAACGTCTGTCGCTAAAATCTCAGAATTGCACCCTCACGAAAAATCCCAAAATCGATCGATCTAACTCAAAGGGATCGAGTTCCCTTACCTCTAGAACGCGCCTAGGCCTAGGTTGGATGACCCGGGACATTGATCTCCTTGTTGATCGAACCCTCAACGTCACTGCTAATAAAAACCCGAGCGTCGAATTAGTCTAATGATGAATCGAGTTTAAAAATCACGAAGGGGTTCGTGATCCTTACCTAGAGACACGAAAGGGACGAGCTGGGAAATCGGGACTGGGGTCGGGATCGAGATCGGGAGCCGGAATTAACTCCTTCTTCTTCTCCTCTCGCCCGCGCGGGGCTGGGGATTGGGCAGCGGTTGATTTTTGCTCGCAGGGGAAGTTAAGAGGGCGGCAGGTTTATTCCCTTTGCTTGGGGAATTAGAGATAGCAAAGAGCGGTTCAGGGAAAAAGGAATAGAGAGGCGGCTGGGGAATTGTGGTTAAAGAGAGGGTCGGGTTTATTGGGGAGAGCTGGCGGGTTTTGGGAAAAAAAATGGGACAGGGTTCCGCTCGACCCCTAGGTCGGGTTT